TAACACCCTTGAGTGTTTGCATCGTGACTTCAAAAGTACTGGTAATGAGCTGACTGATATAATCTTAAGGTAATTTATGATTTTATTAATATATTTTATAAATTCATTATTGATTTCTTATGTCTGTAGATCTCATGAAACTGTTTTTTATGGTTATAAATCTGGACGCACTGAAGTCTTTTACAAAGAACCGGTGCATACAATAACTGGCATACCACCTCCTTCTGATCCTATGGGAAAAATTTCTCTACGTGCTAAAAAACGTTTAGAACGTGATCATTCCTATGTACTATTCTAGATAAGAAATGGATAGTTTAAAAAAGAATTAAACTTAAAAAGGTAAAATACTCAACGTAAAATAGGAATATTAACATACTATAACCACCCAAAATTATTGTATAAAATATTATGAAGTGTTATTGTGACACATTGCCAATATGAAAATATTATAATGTTAGTAACATTTTTTATTTTTATATGTAAAATACAAAAGCCGAATTTTTTGTTTTTTACACCGAAATCCGAGGAATCGTTTTTCTGTGCTTCATCATAAAACTTGTCTTACTTCCTGTATGGAACATTTAAATTACAGACAGCTCTATTAACTGTCTATTGCCAGACAGCTCTATTAACAGCTCAAACTTAATAATAAAAACAACCAAAGATGGTCTTATAGGTAGGAGTCGAGTTACCGTATCTACCAGTATTGTTGTTTGCTAAATAAAACAACTCGATTGTTGAAATGTAAATCATTTTATTATTAGAAATTATTATTAAAAATATGTTTATAACAATTCATGCCACGTAACAGTTTCTCTAAATTTAAAATTAACAAGTACCAATAATTTAAAGGTACTTGAGTTGTTCATGCCATTTAACCGTTTCTCCAAATTTATAGAAACATTTTACAATTCTTGCTTACAGACATGTACAGGGGCGGATTCATACGATTATATTACTTATCTCAGAGATCAAACAACCATAAAGTAGCAATTGCTTCATTAAACAGCATTTTTAAAAATAGTCCATAATTTTAAGAATATTTAAAATTACTAAACTGCTGCTCAAGCACTCAAAAACTGCTTGACAAATAGGTTCCCGGCTACACAAAAATCAGCCATAGCTTAATAGAAAAAATTAGCGACATTGAACTGTTTGAGTATCACTACCTTGTGCAGGTTAGAAAACAAAAATAGAAAAATATTATCTGTCTCAGACTTATACAAAAACCATTGTTGGTCATTGGAGTCTAAATGGTAGATTAGTTACGGCGATATATGACCTAAATGTAGAGAAGAAGGTGTCTACGTCTTCACCGGGGATTGTCTTATTAAAATCCTACTTATACATTATCCGCTCTTGATCCCTACAATTACATTTTCTTTACGTATTTTCTATACTCAACCATATCGTAACCTATGTCTTTGTATTTGTAATTCTTTTCATAGAATCTACTAGATAGATCCTCATGGGCTACAACAAAAACATCTATAATATGAAAGAGAAAATACTCTTAAAAGTGAACCGCTGCATTATGTTGATATGTACTTGTCTTTAAATTAAATCAATCTACCAATTGTAAAGCATGGATGTTCCTTAATTTGATTTAGTCAAAGAATAATGTCTGTATTTTTAATATTATTAGTCTTAAGCTTAATAATAATAATAACAAGTAGACGTGAAAATTGCCCAACAACCGGTACTGCGGCCAGAAGAGTCCTATTGTACCAGTTTTTTTACTCTTAAGCTTTCTTTGAAAGCTACTGTTGTAATATCTCAACTTTTATTTTGATATTAAAAAGTTATTTTATTTTATTTTTGAAGTACCTTTTTGGAGCTAATGAAGTTTTGAAATAGATTCAGAGAGGATAGGTTGTAGCGTTGGTCTTGTGTCCAAAACCAACTTGAGCTCAAAGAATGGCTCTTTGTGACAAATCAGAGAAGAAGCTTTAAAAATTCATTGACGCCCGGTGTCTTTATTTTCCCTATTCTTCAATTTAGGCGATATTTAGCTATTGATGGAACTATTGTTTATATAAAACTTATATAAAATTTATAAATTCTATCTAACAGGAAAATAACGAAAAATTCGGTTTTAATTTTAATTGTTACTAACAAAATATCAATTTAAAAAAAAAACTAAAATTGTTTTTATTCCATTATCTTTTAGGTATACTTATATGCTTGTTATATATTTTACTTAGCGTTTTGTTTTTGTATTTTTTCTTTTTTGTTAAAAATTTTAGTACAAAGTTTTTTAGATAACAATATTTATGCTATTTACATTGTTGTTTCTTGCTCGCTGTACTAAAAAACTATTTTATTACAAAAATTGTTGTTTATTTTTAAGTCATATTTTTTCATGTACCTTATCATGTATCATTTTATCTCATAATCACAGCGTATATATATCCATGATGTACGCATACTTAATATCTAAAACTTAGTCCGATATCTGAATGATATACATTCCATTAGTTAAAAGATATTTTTATCTCGATGTATTTTTAAATTAGTGTAAGCATAAATATTAAAAAGATATTGTGCCAATTAAAAAAATATTCCGTCAATAATAATTGTAAAAGTTTTATATATTTTAATAATTGTTATTAATTTAAGTGAATTTTAGCAATTAAGTTTTAATTAAAATTAAAATTAAAAATTACGAATACTTGGAAAGGAAAACATTCCGAAAATTAGCAGCTTTTTTATAGTAATTTCTTGTGCAATTTATATTTCCATTTGTGCAATGCATACTCCATTGGTGATTTTTTTAAATGACAACAAATATTAAATTTATATAATATTATTTTTTAATTTATTACTGAGTTATTATAAAATTATTTTATATTTACATTTACTATTAATGTTTAGATTTTTGTTGCCATGCAGTAGTAAATATATTTAAATAGAATATCTCGTTCCATATATAAATAACAAATGCAATGTTTGTAGTAGTTTTTAACTTAGAACTGAAAAGAAAAAAATATCAAAAAATCAAATAAAATAAAATGTTTTGTTTATTAAAGTAGAAAGTTTATGCAATGTTTTATACTCTTTTTTATATAAAAATAGAAATTTTTACAAATTTTATATACATTACAAATATTATCAAATTTTACAGATCAGAGTTTCTCAACCTTCGATCAGAAAGGTTGAGAATACTAACAATCCGCACCATTAACACCACCTGTCCATAAAATATTAGGAATAGACCCTATTAAGAGTAACAAAGTTTCCAAGAACGGCAGTATCTACGACCCGAATCCGCTTATCGAACCCAACGACCAAGTGCCAAAAGGGACTGCACAAGCAGGTCGCAGCGGGTCCTAATAATTCAACAATTATTGTATGAAGTACAACTATCTACCTTTCGTTAATGATTTACTACAAATATATGATTCATTCATTCAAGGAAATACCGGGAATCGATAAGTTAAAAAGCCTGTCTAAAGGGATTGTGAATATCCTTTTCTTTGTCGCTAACTTAACAAACAGTTCTCTCTACTTAACCGGTATTAAATCGTCCCTTTTGATTTAGATTTTTAGAGTGCGCCATTTTATCAATATAACCATAATAATCTTAACTTTTGTAATGCAAATGAAATTTCTGGTGCCGCAGCGCTAAAAATGTTGTCAAACCCTTATTGTGGATCGACTTTATCAGAAACACATGCAAATCAGTGGTGCACCGCTCTGTTTGATATGGAGTGGAAAATATTTCTCGTTCTGGTAAGCCATCAACTTCTTCAGCTGAACTTAATATCACTAAAGTAAAAAATAAGGGGTCTTAAATCTGAGAGAATCATGGTGGATCGACTTTATCAGAAACACATGCAAATCAGTGGTGCACCGCTCTGTTTGATATGGAGTGAGAAATATTTCTCGTTCTGGTAAGCCATCAACTTCTTCAGCTGAACTTAATATTATTAAATTAAAAAAAAGGGGGTCTGAAAATACATGTTTAAATCTGAGAAAGCCATCCTCTGACATTTCTGTAGCACACAAATCAATTTGTACCATTTTAAACGATTGTTTGGGTATGAAAAATATATTGTCGTTCGATTAATGCGGAAGAACCTATATTGTCTGCTAAAACTCAATCACGTAAGGTTCGCTTAACACATGATAGAATGAGTCAATTCTGACCCTAGTTTCATAAAACGCATTGTTATTGGTGGTAACATGAGTATGATTTATGAGCTTGATTTACAAACTTCGTTATGGCGCATACCAAGTGAGTCATACAAGTTGGCTGAAAAATTTTGAAGGAGTCGCCTTTAAAACTAATCAGTAGAAGAATGAAAATTTTTTCGCCATTTTGACATTTTAACTTTTATCTGAACGGATTTAGATGTTTGTTTCGCTCTGTCAATTCAGTCCGTTTTTAAATGCCAGTAGAAGCTGACGTATCGATGATTTTATTGCAAGTGAAAAATAATTGATTGATTTGATGATTGGGTTATTCATTTGTCTTTTTATATTATTTCGGAGAGGGTTTACTTCGAATATATACGTTATGTGTCATTAACTGTTTCCATGAACTTTCTTAATATAGTAGCATCTTTCGATACTGAAGACAAATGTCAATTTTGGGTTTAATCTAATTTAAACGTTTTATTATTAAATCAGATGATTGCATTAAAAAAAAGTACTACTACCTTTTCCTGAGTTATTGCTTCCCTATTAATAAGAGAATTGGAATCCCTCCTCGACTAAAAACGAAAATTGAAGCAATTTATTGCAAATAAGTTAATGTTTTATAGGAATGACTCGGCTTTATTGTTTATAATATTTCTAATATTATTATATATTACATTTTTGATTTTAATAAATATTCTTATCAAAATTCTTTTTTAAACTTGTATAAATAAGTATTTACAATAGATATACATAAATATTTATATGTATATATATGTGTGTGTTTATATCACTAACATGGAATATCAATCAATCTTACATATCTATCTTAAAATTTTATATTTTCTTATTGCTAAGTTACATTTTATTATTTTAAATATTTACAATATAATACTTAAGCGTTTGGTTTTACATATATAATTATCATTTCTAAATTTTGGAACTTAGAATTCACCAAGCGAACATTTTGCTCGTCTGCGAAATTTCTTTTTTGTAGCTTCCAATGGAATAGCATTTAGCTGTCCATATTAAAGACTAATTTCGAAGTAATGATATTCTTAAAATCAAGTTTCCAATTTAAAGACTAGTTCCGAAGTAATGATATTCTTAGAATCTAGCTGTCCATATTAAACACTAGTTCTGAAGTAATGAAATTTACTAGATATTTACTAGATATTTTTATGATTTTGTGCCTTCATGTTAACCTTGTATCTAAATTGGCTAGACTTTTGCAAGATTTTTGTAAACACTCCCACTTTATCAATTACACATAGAATACAAAAATACGGATTTCCATTTGAACGTAAAAATTTTCTCAAAGACTAATCACTGTAGACAACAAGTTGAGACCACTATTAGCACTTTTAGGTTTCGAACATTACGATGTTCAAGCAAACTGAGTTTAATTGAATACGAAAATTGACTAGAATTTGGTAAGATTTTTGCATACACTCCCTCGCTTTCTTACTAATACATACAAATTTAATTTTTAAATACCAAAATAATACGAAATTGCATTCGAACATACAAATCTTGTCAGAGACTAGCCATTTTAGACATAGAGTTAGGAGCAAAATATTCGCTCGATGAGTATTAAGTAGTACTTCAAAGTGTTCGAGCATATACTTAAATATAAACATTTGACTACTTCAGATGTTTCAATATTCGAAAGGTTCGAGTATCATACCATTTTCGAATTCGTGAGTCCGAACTCAATCTTATTTAGGCATAAAAATGCTCGAAGCTTTAAATCGTTCGAATAGTATTTGAAGCACTAGTATTTACACCTACATTTCTTAAGGTAACTTCATTACTATCCATGGAACACGTCCATAATATTTATAATGATAATAATCATAAGCTAATTTGCCTAATATGAATAAAATTAAACTAGCTAAAACACCATTCAGCATATCCAATGGATGTACTTTCGGATCCTCATTTAATTTGCAAACATCTTGTCGTGTTATGGATAACACTTTCGCTTGCCTTAGATCATCTCCTTGTTGGTAAGTGCAAGTTATATTCCAAGAATCACGTAAAATGGAATTATATTTAATAAGAGTCTCCCGAAAGCTCATCGCAAATTTACACGAACAAAACCACGGATTCATGCTAAGAAGTAAAAGATTTGCATTTGCATTATCTTCCAAGGCGTTATCCAAAGCATACACTGGCAACTGTAAGATAATTAGATTATATATTTATAAGCTTGATAAGACTTAGTACATACGTACCTTTCTTAACTTGTTGCCACGTAAACTTAATAGACGAAAGTGCTCGAGCCAATAGCCTCCTTCGAGGACATCAATACTTTCAACAAGATTATTGTCCAAATGTACATCCACTACATGACGGTAATTAACATTATTACGCAAAGGTAAGACATCTGTTATCTAATAGATATAGTATAAATTTAATAATTTAACATAATCCATAGATACTATTAGAAGTTAATCAATTAAGCGGATGCACCTATATAGTGCTTACCTGATTATTGTTAAGGAAGAGCATAGTCGTATTTGCTGGTATGTATGCGGGCAGCCGTTGGAAATTCAAATTGGAGCAGTTGACAGTATAAAGTGGTATGTGGGACTTCGGTATTATATGATGCATAATGCAAGTACAATTTTGTAAGTCAGGGTGTGACTGACATTCTTCTTTCAATAACTATAAATGACAATGAATTATAAACCATTTTTTTTTCAGTGTATCAAACATACCAATTTATAATGCATAACTGCCAACATAAGGCGATCTTTATATTTGCGATCGGCGCATAGCAATTCACCACGATCAACTACTGCAGCCCCTTGTTCTGGTAGAAGTAACCATTTAAAATTACGCGTACAGTTCCAAGGATTACCTAACCAACTACAAAATATTAAAACTTGCTACAGTTATCAACTATCAATTACTTACCAGCCAAATAGAGTTTTTCAAAGTAACGCGGCAATATAAGTGGACCTTCCATTTGTATTAATTGATTCCAGCGCAAATCAGCTACTTTAAGCGTATGTACCCGTTTAAAAGTACGACTGCTAATATGCGATAAATTGGTCCAAGATATATTGATAGTCTAAAAAATGAAATTTTATATCACATAGTATATGTTGAATTGTTATTGTTTACTTGCAAATAAAACATTTCAGGAAAATCAAATATAATTTCGGTAAAATTGCTGTATTCAATTGTTAAAGTACGGATTTTCGGAAAAGGTTGCAGATCAATAAGGGGATTGAATACATTTTCCGGCCAACCACAAAATATAATCTCTTCAAGTTTACGCACTTTTTGTTCGCTATAAAAACATTTTTGTTTATTTACTGAAATATATAATCTGGTATGTTATCTGGTATTTACGGTATTGATGGCAGATTATTCATGCCACCATAACAACGTAGCGCACCATAACTTCCATATCTAGTACAATTACCAGCTGTTGCTTCTGGTGCTTGCTTCCAGTCCACACAGGAAAAGTTATGTTGATGGAAGTGCGAAATATACTCGGCATTTGTTGATCTGCGATTAAATAAAAGAATATACATATCTTCAAAATTAATTAATATTTTTAAAGATACTAGTTTAGTGTGTGCTAGTAGAAAAGAATTGATTTGATGGAGATATTTTAGTAAACTATCTAATAACTCAATTTCAATTATTGGTCGGTCAATAAGCGTTTCATAGTTAGAAAGACACTCATTATATAAAAGAATCACTGAAATTTTAGAACCGACAATTACTGACTAGACTTTCACACACTTTTTGGTCAAGATATTTATAAAAACATGTGTGGATGAATATACTGAGATCAAGAAATATGGGTGTATTATGAATATATCTTTTATATGAGGTTTGCCGTTTAAGTCTTGCACCTATTATTGTTCTCCAAAGTATTCTCCATGATGATCAAAACGTGTTCACATTTAACTGTACCAATTTTCGAAACAGTTTTGTCACTCTGAAGTAGATATCTCCAAAACCAGGGTCTTGAATGTCTTAACGCTTGCCACGCATTTTTTCTTTATGTTTGGGAACAAGAAGTCATTGGGCACGAAGTGGCGGACCGTGAGGCGGATGACCCAACAATTCGATGTTTAGAGTGCTCAAAACCTATTTTGTTGAATGTAATGTGTGGGAGCACGTATTGTCGTGCTTTAGAATGATCTTACTACGACGGTTGGTTTTTCTCAATTCTGCAAAGAGAATTTGTTCTCTTGGCAAATAAATGGTTGTGTACCACTCCGAAGTGATTGTTCTACGTTGTTCAAGTGGAACATGAATGTCGCAATGACATGGTTTTTCTGAAAAAACATGTGAACGTTTCCTTGGATTTCTCCTGTTCGCAAACCACTTCTATCTGGTTTTGATCACTTCAGAAGACCTAAATAGTGGATTGATGTTTTGTTTCGGCATAGATCCATGATTTCTCACCTGTCACGATGGTCACGTAGAAACCAGGTTACGTATTCTTGTGATATATTAAAAAGGCAAATAATTAAAAACAGAAATAATTATTTTCCCATAAAATAACAACTATAGAAAAAACAGGTAGCTTGAGATTAAAAAAGATAGTTTTAAACTGGAAGCGATCGTATATAGGTACTACTCCTAGACAGTCGTTTCCGATGTCTAATTGGCGCTCACATCTCCTGTTATAGTATACAAAATATATATATTTTTTTTACAACAAAATTGTAGCTATTGTAGCTATACTATTCATCTCATCTCAACTCATCTACTACTACTCAATTTTACTACTACTTTACTTTCGGCTTTGCTCGCATGCTGTCCTTAAATTTCAAATGAACAACGCTTATCCGTGGTGCTACAACGGGCCATTATTTGAGTTCAAGTGGGCTTTGAGCACAAGGCTGCCACTCCAACCTAAT